GCGATGCTAATGCCTTTGCAATAGAGGTAGTGTTAGGAAGACTTTTGACACAATATACTATACTAATAAGGTTCTTAATGAAACCTAAGTGAACTACAGCTCTACTAAGAACAAATAATTGACAATAATATATGTAATTAATAAATTTTTGTCATACTTGATTAGAACCAGAGTCATAATGTACGACTACCACTCTGATATCAAATATCTTGTGACAAAAAATGATGTAAAATCCCATTTGATCTGATAGGTTTTCATGTTACAAGAATTTGATGTTGAGACTGTCTACAGAAAAGGTACAAAAAATCAGGTAGCAAACCACTTTTCTGGACAAGAAAGTCTGAGGAGTTATTTGATGAAATTAATGAGAGTTCCATGAAGAGAGCCTCCTATTTCCATTTTTAATAAAAACATTCCATTGTGTGCACACATTGTTAGTGGCATAATACCATATAAATTGACATACCACCAAATAAAATTGTCTTTTGATGTCGCATTCTAATATTGGGATGAATCTTATCTCTTTAAAAAGTGTAAAGACTAACTCATGAGGAGATGTGTCTCTTTGTAAGAAGTCAACAAAATTATTAAATCATGTCATGATTCGGAGTTTGAGCGACATATATGTGAAGAAAAATTGTGATTTTTCCCATGATTAAATTTATGTTTTATTGGTTAATTATAAGAAATTTATTGTTGTTGAAGGTGTTTTGGTTGTGTTTTGCAAGAAACAGGTGACGAGTGCACTTCAAGGAGCAAAATAATGCAATTTTTCCTAGTGAGCATTGGTGTAACCTAGCTCAGAAGAAGCATGGTTGTGCCACCCACTCAGTTTAATGAAATGAAGGAAGAGGTGCCATGTCACATTCGAGCTCATGATTCACACGAGCACATCATTCTCAATCCCAACCCAGCACACCCACATCACTAGAGGTGCATACGTTTCATCCATATAACACACGCACACCATTATGCAGGATGCCTATTTTGGAAAGATTTGCCATAACCTTAAGACTTAATGTTATATATAGATGTGTTATAAAGATTTTGGGACAATTGGTTGTTTGAGGAGGTTCTTCTTAGGTCTAAGTAGTTTTGTAAACTTTAGGCTCCCCACATTTGGTGCTCCCTTAAAGAAGAGTTGTAAAGTGTTTTTCTTGGAAAGTTTTAAGAGGATTGTGTGCTACTATATGTAGAAGAGTGATAGGGAGTTGCATTATACGAAGGAGGATTCCATGCATTAGAAGAGTGATTAGCTCGGTTGTGAGTCTTCTTTACTTTTTTATATTGTATCTTTCATGTTTTCAATAAACTTTTTATGTTTTCTCATCTCATGCATTGCAACTAAATTTTCTTTCATGCTCCTATCATGCACAGCACATGATTTCCTTGCAATTTTTTTTCTTAATATTTTCTATGCTTTTAAATTTTATATGTTGATGTGTTAATCTTTTGATCATTGTTTTCTCCTGATTTGACCAATTAGGATGTTAAAAACTCTTATGATCTAGGAATTCTAACAATTGACTAGAAGAACAAATAGGTTAACACACAATAGCCTAGTGGAATGAACATATTACTATTAGGAAATTGAAACCTAGATAAGGGATTAAGAGATTCCTGAAAATGCAACATGGTTAAGTCTCCTTAACTGTAATAAGATTTCAAACGCTTCTTATGACTTAGATATATGCTAAGAAGATCTTGTCCCTTGTTTTTGACAATCACATGGGAAACTCATATAAAAGTATCAAGGAATAATAAGGCTGGTGTCACAAGAGCATGGGCTTCATCACCTTTGAAAAATCTCAACGATTTTAATGTTGGTTTCTAATTCAATTATTAGGCTTTTAGAACTTCTACTTCCTATAACTCTAAACCTTCAAACTGAACACAACAAAGATGATAAATCATAACTTAACCTCTTAGAAAAGTTGACAAGTTTTCTCATTAGATCGATACACAGACTCTAACTCTGTGTATTACTTAATTGAAACATATACTTTTATAGTTAACTAATTGCTTCACAATAGTTTTGAACATTAATTTTTTCGTTATCTTATCGAGGAAATGAGCAAACTTTTTTTATTTCCAAAAAATTTTAATAGAAACACTTACAATTTATGTTTTATCTTTTTTTTTTTTTTTTTGTTTTATGTTTCTCTGTTTCTATGATAGTTATGTTTTGTCTTTGTTTTAAAAAAATCATATATCCAGAAAAAAATTGTTACATCTTTTATATTTGTTTTGTGTTGCCCATCTATTCTTTTCAGTTAGTGTGTTTTCATTATGTTTGGACTTCATGTTTTTCATTTTTACGTTAAATCAGGGACACTTACAGGAAACTTTAGTTGCCTACGTAGGAGCTAATTTGTTGATTTATTATCATTTATTAAATCCCAAAAACCCTTAAAAAAGTTCAAAAAACTCTCAGAAACTAAAAAAGAATCACTTAGCAATGACAAACCCTTATTAAAACTATATGATTCCCCTTAGGAATATGTTAAACCAATAGGCGAGGAAATCCATATGAATATCAATTACCCTACCGTAGGATCCAACACATTTGAACCGAGACTTGCGATAATCCAAATGATTCAAAAAAATGATTTGGGGGGATTCTTGACCCCACTTTTTCGTCAATCATTTTCCTTAGCTTATATTCAATCTCATTGAGACATGAGACGTCCCTTCTAGTGTCACCAGATGGCTGAATTAAACTTGGATAGGCTAAAACTTGAACCATACTTGAGCTGAAGCCTAAGCTGAATCCTAATTTAACCTAAAATTAAAAATTTAACTAAAAAAATTGAAATCAATAAAAATAAAACATAACTAAACATAATCAACCCCAATTAAACCTTAAAATTAGTTTTAATCAATATACTCACAGAAATTATCATTTTCTCTACAAAATATCATTGTATGATATTCACTATCACATTAACAACCACGCAAATAAGTTTGACTATTATACAACATAATTTTAATGTAAATTTTTTACTTTAAGTTTTCATTCATGATGCTCGATTTACCTTGAAATTATCATTTTCTCCACATAACAATTCAACAATCATAATTTCATTCATAATAATATATGAGAAACATACAAATTAGTTTTATGATGATTAGTTGCACATTTTATATAAATTTATTGTTTTGGATTTTCATGTATGTAAAATGATCCAACATAAAAATTTTTCAACGAATTATTATTTTTCAATACAGACTATGCGAGTGTGTTCAGAGTGTCAAAATCTTTCAAATGGACCCATTCGTGGTCAAATCCAACTCATTTTGGGAGTTCAAGCCTACAATAATTGAACAATAATTTCGACAATAAAAAGAACAATCAGAACAATTCACTCAAAAATGAATTCAAATTAAAACCAAACCTTGAGTAAAGTGAATTTGAGCTAGAAATACTTAATTTAGTCCTTAATTTAAATCCAATGAAAAATTTCCATTTAAACTTCACCAATTTTGCTTCTCCTTAATTTCTTATATTTTTCTCTTTCAAATGAGCAAATGCCAAAATTTTAGCCATAATACCCTCCAACTACCCATAACCACCTAGCCACTACAAATTGAAATATCTCAAACGAGAGACCAATTCATCCTAAACCAATTACACTGATGAAAAATTGGTAATAGGGATAAAAAAATAATGAACGGGTTAAAGGTGCTGGCACAATAAGTGTCTTTGAGGTCTACTTTATGACGTGAAGCAACATACTCATTCGAGCATTGAAAATTCCAATAATAGTTGGCGTAGGAAGGAAGACTTTAAGGCATAGGCTCGAGGGCTACTATTGGTTGAGAAGAGCCTTCTATAGAGACTAGCTCGGTAGATGAGCCGACTTAGAGGGGTAGGGCATGCGTAAACTCAAAAGAAGCAAGGGCAAGGTTAGTTCGACAAATAATATCTTCTTCTTCGATATGAAATAACAACCGATTTCTCTTATTGAAGAATAGGCTCAATCAATTTGGTTGGGGAATCGGTCGCACATGCTCGATCGGCTATTTCGCTACGCGAGCGAGTGTGCCTCCGTTACATGAAAATTATAAACTCAACTGATCTGGTTGGAAGTACAAATTCAAGTGACATGAAAGTTTAGAAGATTAAATGGAAATCTTAAGATTTATAATTTAAAATAGTTAAAATTTACTTTTGAAGAGTTTTGAAAAATAACAAGTTGGAAAATATTTAATTGAAACAAAATATAATCTTAAAATTATAAAATTTATTTAAGCTTGATTTTCTTAAAAGATTTGATCACTTTGAATATTATCAATTGTTGATCATGCAAACATATTTCTTTTTTTTTTTCTTAAAGTAACTATTTTTTAGCATATTTATAGAAATTAGATTTAAAAAGATTTATCATCATAATTTTAAGGTAATGAAGAGATGAGCAATAAATCCCAAAGTGCCGAATTTATAGTTCTAGAGAGATATATATGCATTATTTATTTATTTAATTTATTATTTAAAAGTATTTGTTTATTTTTAATTAAACAAGATTAAAAAATCTACAAAAATTGTTATTTTATTCACATCATTAATCCTAATTGAAATAAGGAAAAATATTACATTAGGACTTGGAATATTCGACTGTGTTACGAGAATATTCCATCTGCTTTATTTGTAAAAATAATGTGTTATTTAAGTATTATATGATGTTATTCGATTATTTTGCGGTGTTATTGGAATATTTATCTACGTTACTTGATTTGGGACTATATTATTTGACATACTCTCCGTGTTATTTCAATTTTCAATATGTTATTGGAATAATACAGTCTCAAATCAAATAATGCGGGAGAATATTTCAATAACACTTCAGTCCAAAATCAACGTTATGCAATATTTCAATAACTTCACAAAATAATTAAATAACAACAAATAATACTCGAATATCACATCATTTTTAATAATAAGAGATGAAATATTCTCATAACCCAACCAAATATTTCAATCAAAACTTAGCTCCATCTAGTAGTGCTGTTTTAATATCTTTTTCTTTGAAGTAATCCCACCGGAGTGTGCCAGCGGCGGTACTGCACTTTCTTCCATGGATGATGCCTCTCGCTCCTCTCCAATTTCCTTCGCCGGCGGTCTTACCGCTGGCGATGAAGTAATCACGGCGGCTGACCAGGGGTCGCAGATCGGGAGCGCGGCTGGGAGCCTGCAGGGCGAGGGGATCCTCTCCGGCGGGGGTGATGGAGGGAGCAGCGGCGATGCGGATTTCGGATTCCAGCGTCCGGAACTAGGGAAGGAGGTTTTGGTCGGGACGGTCCAGTTCTACGAGCGCCATGTCTTCCTTTGCTACAAGACGCCTCATGTGTGGCCGTCGCATGTCGAGGCGGCGGAGTTTGATCGGTTGCCGAGACTTTTCTCGGCGGCACTCGCCGCGAGGAAGGGGGAAATGAAGAAGCGTGTGAGTGCTCTTGGCCTGGAAATTGATTTGTCCGTTCTCTTTTCTGTTCTCGCAGCTAAATTCTTTTTATAGGCGAGTTTGATGAGGTGAATCTTCTGTTCGATTTCCTGGTTATGAGCCTGTGAGCCAAATGGATTGTTTGTGAATATTTGGTTTGGGTTTTGGACAAAACGTTGGTTTTACGGATTTTGGCTTTTCGCCTTTTTTTTTTTTTTTGCATCACTTGTTATGCTACAGAGGGGATGGTTTGACTATTTCTCTTTCATGGCAAAGAGTTTAGGAAGTGAATATATGGCGGCTTTGTTTGGATTTTGCTTTATTACGATTAAGTCAGATTAAATACTCTCAATACAAGAATTTGTGTTTGTTTGTGAAGAACATAATAGACAAAGACCCTCTCATGGTGATGATTTCGCATCCCGAGTGAGAAGAGAAACTATATTTTTTGTGAAAAAAATTTGCGTTCATAAGACGTACGCAGAGCTGCGTAAGGTAACTTTCAAATAGATTACGTGGAGGATATTGAGAGGTTATAGCCGTGTTATATTCCCTGTAACCTCCCTGTACCTTCTAGTATATGGAAACAAAAGCGTGAAACTTACTAGAAGGTACAGGGAGGTTACATAGGGTATAACGCGGTTATAACCTTTTAATATTCTTCCTGTAACATATTTGCATGTTATAGAAAGTACAATTAGGTTACAAGGAGGTTATATGTGGTATAACACGGTTATAACCTCCCAATATCCTCCCTGTAACCTATTTGCAGTTTATAGACGTACACAGCTCTGCGTTCATCTTATGTACGCAAATTTTTTCCTTTTGTTGTTAGTCTTTTGATTACGCTATTTGATTTAAAAAATATTTCCGTACGTCATACACACGCAGAATTGCGTGCGTATGAATGTTATATGAAGGGTATTGAAGGGTTATGTTGTTGTTATTAGAGTTAATACCCTCGATAACTTCACAAAACCCTCGAATGACAGGAAAAAAGATGAGCGCCGAACCGTGGAATGTATTGGTAGGTTATGAGATGTTATTGTGGTTAATACCCTCAATAACCTCTTAGTATCCCCCAATAACTGAGTTATTGGAAGGATATTCGCAAAATTGTGTGCATATGACGTACGTAAAAAAATGCTAATTTGATTTGTTCTGAACTGAACTTATTATCAGTTGTTGTCTTTTGCATGAGTTTTTATTAATTATTTAATTCATTATTGTTTATGTTTGATAACGCGTCTTGATATTTTGTTTTGACTGCATGCTTGGTTCCAGTTGATAGAAAATTAATTATAGTAATCTTTAACATGGTTTGTCAGCAAAATTATTTTTGTATTTTATCTGGTATTTATTATGATCATGTGGCCATTGAAATGAACAAAATAATAAAATACTTTTCACTTATGTGGTATCTGTAATTTTGCTTGTACTGAAGGTTGGTTTTTATTTATATTTTGTGTCTCATATCATGTTATTTCAATATATCACTTTTTGACTCCAAAATGAAAAAAAAAAGTGCAATTGAGATGCTGTTTTAACTCAAGTCGACTAAAAGATTTGATGAAAGCACAATGAAAAAGCCAAAGTCAACATTAATGATTATTATTATCCTCAGCATTGTACCATATAGATTGCACGATATATATTGCACCAGTTTGATTGATTTGACACTAGATAATATTACACTTTATGTAACATTGCATTTCAAATAACAATGGAATAAGCTTCCCCTTGCATAGATCCTGTTAATAGGATAATTCCTTCTACTTTTGGTTTCATATTTTTTCATATTGTAAGTCTTCAAAGTTCACTTCATCTTAGGCATCACTTATATGGAAGATGTTGGCTGCTTGGCTAGTCTTCTAACATTAGGAGTCTGGAATTCATGATTTTGTAGTGAAAGATTGCATGATTTTTTTTTGTATTGGACTAGGTTAGCCTCATGTAGGATGCCATAAGGTTTAGGATTCATTACTGCAAAAATGCGTTGGAATGTACAAAAACATATAAATTTACAGCTTACAGATCCCAACTTTCAATTTCAACCAAGATTACTTACAGATTACTCACCGTTGATGCAAAATAAGGAAGCATTTTTTATTCATTCAAAATGGTAATTTAATTTTTTCCAAATATTGACATTTTATGAGAAAACTGAGAACTAAACTTAAAATCCTGCAACATTTAAAATTTAAATCATGAAAAAAGAATCGAACTTCATGGAATCTAGGCTATTTATTGGTATAAAGAGTTTTTTCCCTTGGAAGTTGTAGTCAAGTTTTGTGAAGTATTAGAAGAATCTACACAATGGAACATGCACAAGAATTAACAGAAAATTGTTTTTTTTAATTTTTATTCAATGTTCAATATATTATACATGACTCATGGATCCTCATTAATGGGCAACAAAAGACCAATAATAAGAAATTTCTAAACATCCCCGATAATTTAGTCCAAACCTACAGGTTCCAATTTTCCTAACTTCAAATTGCAGGAATCAACTTTTTAATTCTTTTCTTTCATCATAATCATACAGATATAAGAAGATGCATGAGGAAATCACCAAATAATTTGAACTTGGCATCTTAGGAAGGGAATAAATTTGAACTGAAGGCAGCCTTCAACCCATGAATTTATCCTTCTAGCTTGGATTTGCCCTTAAAGTAAGGAAAACAAAATAGTTAAATTTGAACTATTCATGATGTTGATTGAAGTGGGGCCCTTACAGCAGTGAAACAAATCTAAAAAGCTTTAAAAATGCTAGAAGCACTACTTGTTCTCAGCATGCTCATTATTCTTGGCATGTTCTTAAAACATAAACTAGAACATGAAAATACATTAAAAATTAAGCATGCAAATGAAAACACAATGCAAACTGATCATGTTCTTCCTGAAATTCATTTTCCGTGCTTTCCATGAGCGTACACTTTTTGGGCTTCATTACAACCATAATTTTTGAAAGATATTTAGGGTTGGCTTTATTGACTTCACAATAGATTTGAAAAGAAGTAACTAGTCTGTTTTTTGGGTTTATCATCCATCCTTTAATTCATACACATCTTGTATTTATGTATGATTTTATACATTTATGTATGCTTTTGAGCTGATATGTATCAGAGCTTTAAATTTGCACAAAATTATTAATATATACCAATATACAGAGATTGTTATGTATATACATATTTATTCAAATATAGATGCCTATAATCAAATCCACTTGTATTCTAGCCATTATTTTACCTGATATTTGTTCTTTGAGCTGGATTTTTTGTTTGATTTAAACATGAATTAATTGCATTTTCTGTTAAATTTTATTTTTGAGATGTTATTGGGCCAGTCATTTTTGAAGCATTCTTGTCAGCCCTGTGATGAACATTCTATGATGGTGGTTTGTCTTATTTCACAATGTTGTTGTTTTGGTGCAGTCACTTAGAAAAAAATTTTACTTGGTCATAAGTTAATATATTTTCTTAATCAATATTTTTTCATTATGTTATATGTATCTTGATAATGGGCATTATACATTTTTTTACGAATGAAAAAAATCATTTGAGCCTTTAATCCATATGTTCATGCTAATATCACTTGGTAATTATTTGGTTCGACTACTCTTTGAAAAATTATGGTTAAAAGATGCTGTTAAAAGGTTGTTGAATTTTGTTTGTAGACCTTGCGGGTAATCTCTTGTTTCTAACACAAGTCGTTTTTATCTTTTTGGTTATTGCACTTTATACATGTTGTAAAATGCCAAAAAGATTTAGTGTCCATAGATCTATTGTCACAGCGGTGGAATCTCATAAATGGTTGTTGAAAGTCATCCTCGAAGGATTTTCACCTTCATTGGGAATCTCCCTTGCCTTCACTGGAAGTCCACCCTTTAGGAATCTGCTCACTGGAAGACGATCTCATCAGAAGCCTCCCTCACCAGAAGTTGTTCGTCCATTCCAAAAATTGCATTGGAAGATTCTCTTGCTGGAAGCCTCTTCCTTGCTTTCATTGCTAGCTGCTCACTGGAAGCCTTCTTTGCATGAACCTTTTTGGAAGATGATCTAGCCAAAAGTGGCTCGTTAGAATCAACACGTGCCATGGGGACTTACAGTATCATTACACATTCGTAGTTACTTTATGTTTCGGCTAGGAAGAATGTTTCAACACTCACAAATATTGCTTGGGGAAGGTAGGATTAGGTTGCAAATGTGATGATTCCTTTTTGGTTTCTAATTACATTGAATCGTAACTAGTTTGTTTTGTTACATAAAATTTTGAAATGGCCAACCACATATCTTTAGCACCCAAATGCAAGGATCCATTTGCGATAAAAAATATGTTCTTCAAATGAGTTTATTTTTTTCTTGGGAGCAGGTGACCACTGCAGGAGCCGAAAACAAGCAAAACACCATGCAATTGCTTTTACAAAAGCAAAAGCATCTAAACTTGGAACCAAACAGCCCTAAATTTATGTGATACACCCCAATATTGCATATTCTACTTCTAGTGACAGAATACTTGTTCTAGTGATGTGTATCATATTAGCCTATGCTTGCCATATCTAACACCCATCAGCATTCTATGTGATCAGTTGTTGTATACCTATATATAAATTTATCAAAAGGATGAGCTTATGGCTCTATGGGTGGTTTAATATGGTAGCAGCATCGAAAATTTAATGTTTTGTAATGCATTCTGGTTTCTTCCTTAAGCCATTTTGGTTGTGGCTTTTACCTTATAGTCTTCTATTGGGGTTTGGTTACTTCAACAGTGCATGGCTTCTGTAACATTTATAAAATTAATGTAGTAATTAGATGATCTTTCTGAACATGTGGGTAGGATTTTCAAATATTATTTTGTATTTTTTTAAGTTTATGGTATGAATTTTCTTTTGTTCTCTTTAACTTGTAGACTCGCTTAACAATTTGCGAAGGAGAAGATGGAACTGAGTCATCAAATGGAGATGTACTGATTTTTCCAGACATGGTTAGATACAGGTTAGATTAATATCATTGTCCAATTTTCAGCAAGTTGTTGATTATTTGATTGTACCGACGCTTAGTCATCATTTAATGTGTGTTCAGGCGTTTGACACACTTTGACGTTGAGAATTTTGTTGAAGAAGTGCTTGTTAAAAATAGTCAATGGCTTCCTGGAGCAGTTGAGACACTGACAGGCTCCTTCATCTTTGTGTGCGCCCATGGAAGTCGAGATAGGAGATGCGGTATATGTGGACCTGTTCTTCTTAGGAAGTTTAAAGAAGAGATTAATGCACGTGGCCTTAATGGTACAGTGTCTGTGAGCCCTTGCTCTCACATTGGTGGTCATAAGTATGCAGGAAATGTCATTATATTTAGTTCAAGCCTTAATGGGGAAGTGACCGGACACTGGTAATAAAGTTACAGTGAATTTTATTTTATTTTTATTTTGAATTTTTACTTTAATGGTGATAATTGCTGTGCTTTTATGTAAAAAGCTCTTATATCTATGGTGATGATGGCTTGTACTGTTAGGTATGGGTACGTTACTCCAGATCATGTGCCCTTGTTGGTTGAGCAACATATCAGTAAAGGAGACATTGTTGATGATTTATGGAGGTAGCTTCTCTTACATATACCCATTTTGAGTCTTTTTTAGAAATTCCACATTTATATGGTGGCAAAATTGATTGTTCATTTGATGATTATGTATCAAACAGAATTTTTTTTCGATGCTGAGGTACCATACCACTACCAAACATGCAATTTTTTTTTTCGTCATCAAATTTCTCTCTATTCTCTCTGATCTTAAAAAAAGAGAAAATTCACATTGCACCTTGTCTATAAGCTGTTATTCTTTGTACTGCTTCTGGTTGGTTGATGTTCTCTAGATATTTTTCTTTACTTTGCGCACCTACATGCGTCTGAAATGTTATGTTTTTAATGCTTATGATTTGAGCATGGATGTTGTTCTGATTGGAGACAATTGTTTAACTCTATTATTTTGAGTTTTGGTATATAACGTTTCTGTGAAGTATGCCTCTTTTCTTTTTTGGGTTGGCAAGTACGCACCTTTTGCTGTAGGAAATCACCCCAAGATATGAACCCACTGTTATACGGCAAGTGCCAAGTAGATTTGTATCCGACAATTAGTGTATGATAAATTCAAAATCTTAATTGTGCACCTGAAAAGGAGCTCCAAGTCTACAACAGTAGGAAGAAGTGCATTGTTGTCTTCTTATTTTATTGCTGGCTTCCTAAAAAATGTTTTTGTTAGTGATTAAAGTTCTGTTTTGGAACATTTGAATGTTGTTAGAAGTTGTATGGCTATAGGTGCTAAGATTATGAAATGGCACACATTTTTACTGTTACTTTGTATCATATGTTCTAATGAAACTTAAATATGGTCAAACACAACGTTCATTAGTTTATCTACATTATCCTGGAAATGTAGTATATTTCTCGTTTTGTTAATCCCAATTAAGTCTGTTAAGCTCAACCTATAGTATATTATTGGTTTTTATGGTACAATATGTTGATTGTACTTTACATTTCAGAGGGTTAATGTTATCATCTAACCAATCTTCAGGCCATCAATCTAATACTCGGGACAAATTTTATTAACCGTTGCATAAAGTTTCTTCAATTTTCTTATCGTGTTATTTAATTAAAAGTAATTATTTTAATAATTGAATTTTCTTTTTTTGCGGATGTGAAGTCCATAATTACAAATGTGAAGTTTAATGAAATAGTTGAATCCCTCCCAGTCAATTATTTTCTTCAATTTTACCTTCATTTAGCCCATGTATTGGTACTTTTCATCAAAATTTTCCTTTTGTTTTCACTTTGCATGAACAATTGGGATCATTAAATGCATTGAGAACTAGGGATCATGTTCCAATAATGTCCCTAAGAATCTACTAGGATACCAAATCTTTTCTCTTTCTATTTTTTGCAATTCTAGGTTTATGGTTTTTAAAACCATTTAAGATCTTCTATAGTCTTTGATTTTCTTAATTTCCATTTAATAGTTTTATTACAATTGCATATTGTTGCAGTCATGATTATTTTGCTATATATATTCACTTAGAAAAGGGGCTCTTGTGCTTTCATGCATGAGAGCTTGAGAATGTTTCATAGGGTATAATGAATTATTTTAATAAGATTTTATTTTGTTATAGGAATTGAAATTCGCTATGAGCGCTATCCTCGATAGTTGAACCGAATAAATAGGATGGCATCAATATAGTTGATTTCAGAAGCCCTACTAAAACTTGTTGAAAATAAAGTTTGCCTTGTATCTATCAATAAAAAGCCATTAGGATGAAATTTCGTGCAAATCTATCAACTTTAGATTGATTTTGTCATGCTCTAACTCCTTGCAAACCCTAAACTATATTGTACTACATCTAGTTGGGGTGTGAGAGATGGGGACAACATCAATTCAAACATTTATTAGATATCATAATTATATCTCCCATAACATAGTTCATTTTAAAAGCGGATCAATTAGATGAAGAATTTTGATTCTATCTAGATATATATAGAGCTACTAAATTCATAGTCATGTAGCTGAGCAGTTGGATATGACATTCATTTCTATCCATGCTTGACTCGTCACACAACCAACATGTATTAATTTCAATTACGTTGGTGGCTTATTGGTTGACGCAAGCGCTTAACAACACCCAAATTAGGGCGCAGAATAGTGCCCAGAGCGGGGCACTTCGAAACAGCTAGGTCGTAGCCCCGCGAAACCTCACGAGGCTGCCCGAAGCAGAAAAATTTTCTGTCCGGACTCCTGCGTAGCTCTACGTGCAGACTCCAGTTATATGTTGCAACGAATGCTACGTCGCGGAGGTTATTTCGAGATTATTGAAGTGGAACCGCAAATATTATTTTAGGGTTATTTTGGGGTTATTGAAGAGAAACCTATATATTCTACTTCAATAACCCATAAATAATTTAGAAATAACTCCAAAATAACCTCTATGGTTCCACTTCAATAACCCCGAAATAACATCGCGGATGTTATTTCAGAGTTATTTCAAGGTTATTTCTGAATTATTGAAGTGGAATATATGAGTTTCTCTTGAATAACCATGAAATAACGGAGAAATAACCCCGAAATAACCTTCACGGTGTTAGTCGGGGTTAATAAAGTGGAATCGCCGATGTTATTTTAGGGTTATTGCAAGATTATTTCAGGGTTATTGCAGAGTCCGCGGTTCCACTTTAATATTTTTTAGGTGGACCCGATATAGCATGGTGATATATTACTGGGAGTCCACATCTAGAGCTAGGTTCGGAGTCCAGATAGAATTTTTCCGCCCAAAGCATCGCATGACGCTGCAAGCTCGTGAATGCGCGATTGCGGGAGTTCGGGCCACAGATCGCGATCTCGTGTATGTAGCAGAGATTGGATCGCAAATATTCATGCTTCAGGGCTGCTTCATGCACCTTCCACACTTGTCTTCCTCTAGAAAAGTCTTTTTTTCTAGATTCTTCTTATCTTCCCACTCTCCTTCCTCTTGTGTAGAATTAGGAGGCTATAAATAGCTGTCCTCAGTGTGTTGGGGACAAGTTCTACTGGAGTTGCTACTAAATCTCCTATGTGGAGTCTCTTCCTTCTTGTTAGGGTTGTAACCGACGACACTATCGAGTGAGAGTCTAAGAATCAGAGGGTTAATTCAAATCATTAAAAATTAGTGACAGAAAATAGTTTTATTTAGTGGGCAGGTGGATACAAGTTCAATGTTTGTGGCAGGGTGGGGATCTATGAAGTGCAAAAGGTTATAAACTTGTGTGCACAAAATGAGCAAGCATATGCGAATCACGATGTGTGCGGATTGAACAAAGGGAAATAGAATCACATTTTGGTATGTGAATGGATGCATTGGGCATCATTTTTTAGCCTGGAATGTAACATCAAGTTTCTATTACATGGGAGGAGGAATCGAAGAGCCAAAGAGAGGGAGAGGAAACGAAGGGCTGAGCAGGAGAGAAGAGGAAGCGAGGAGACAAAAAACCGAAGAGGAAGGAGAGTAAGCGGAAGCGAGGAGATAGGAAACTAAAGAGGGAGGAGAGGAAGCAAAAGGGGTCCGAATTTAAAAATCAATTTACCTATAACTTGTCTAGTCGAGTTGAGAGAAGAGATGCCATGGTTTACCTGTAGAGTCGAGAGAAGAGACACCACGATCTGGCGCGAGAGGGGTCATCGACAAGCAGAGAAAAGGCGGGAGCTCTTGGCGTCGGTGTTGCGCAGCGGAGGAAAAGTCAATATTGGTGTAGAGTCGCTATTGAAGGAGTTGATGTTGCGGTGTCTATAATGGAACTCTTTTCGTTTTCGAGTAGGTGAGGAAGGCGACGTAAAGCGCAGTAGCAGAGGAAGTTCATGCAAGAGGGAGTCAAAGCCAGAGCTCTCCCACGTGCAGAGGAAAAATTTCGCTTGCGTGGAGTAGGGCTCGACCAACTTTATAAGTGTTAGTTTATTTATTTAAGTTATTTAATAAATATTATATATATATATATATATATATATATTATTTATGTTTATTATTTAATTGATAAACTTAAGTGCATTTGATTCAAGCACTAAAGAAAGACTAGGGTTTTATTCTAAAATTATTTAATAATAATTTTGATTACAATTATTAAAATTTAAAATTTAAAATATTGAATTCTTAGTTAAAATAATGTAATACAATAATAATTGATAATTAAATTAAAATATAATTAAGTAAATTGATAATTGAATATTTTATAGATGATAATTCGATAGAAATAATACAAGTTAAAAGCAAGCAAATCGTCTATCATTGAGGTGAGTACCCATATTCTTTTGCTATTAATAATATTTTATTTTTTCTCGATCAAATGCATTTATTGTTATTATTATAATACTACATATTCATGATTTATGATTTTATTGAATTTTGTTCATATTATATAAATGATCTAATTGCTCAGTATTGTTTAAATTATCGTGGATATTGGATTTTGTAAAAGAATATTGACTACTATGTAAAAAATATTAAAATATTCACTATTAGAATGTGATATTTTGTAGTATTATTGTATGTGCATGTTTGACTATGATGGAGCCACCCTTTTATACTACTAGCGGGTAGCGCTAAAGTACCCGTGCACGTAATTAGAAAAAGTTATAGATATTAAATTACCTTAATTGATATAATTTTTAGATGGTGCTCTTGTGATGGTTGTACAAATATAGAATGATATTGGTTTGTTATTGATATAATAAGATTTTTTTAATAATGTCTCAAATGTTTATATTGATTTATCAAAAGCTTAACTGACATACATATGACTTTCATTCTCTTATATTACTGACTTTGGTTAGCTCACCGTTATTTTACACTAATTTTTTAGCTATAATTAAGTGATTTAAAAGATGAGTGACAGAAGAGAATATTTATAGGAAACATGGACAACCTGAAATAAGCTAAATTTAATTATAATACTTTAATTTAATTTGTTTATTGACTCTTTCATTTATTAAATGTTAAATGAATATAGAAAACTTAGTTCCCGCCGTTCGACCGTTTGTACTCATCTTGGTTAATTCCAAGCCTCAGACCGTATCATGACATAGACAT